TGGGGGGGGGGTGGGGCGGGGGGGAGGTTGTATATGCTGGATTCAATATAGTTTGATTTTATATTTGAAGCCTAGGTAATAAGGGTTGTTATTCCTTACGTGCTATTTTGTTTTTCGTAATTTTGGAAAAGTTATACAAAGCTTAAAATGCTGGAATAAAGGGTACTTAATGGGCTGTAAATTTTATCAATAGATCACAGCAGTCACCATAGTCTTTTGCAAGAAATGCCTAGGACTTGCATTTTTTTTTAAAGAATTATTTACCATTCAAATTCTGATTTAATATCAGGATTCTAGCAAGTTTGGGGGCTTTAATTCAAAATTAAAATGAAAAATCACAGGATCATGTATCTGAACTCAAAATTGGAACTTGGTGGCTGAAAATCTCTGTTAACTTTCTGCCATTTACATGGTTGATTTTCCTCAGTAACTGCTTGCCAATTCTGTTGCTTCTGACAGATCAGCATTTCAACCAAATTTTATCCCATTCCCATAAAACTTTAAGGGAGCAGTATTTAGGGAAGATAAGTGTTCCATATGTGTTCCTTTACCAAGTGGAACATTTTGGGGTTTGGGTTTTTTTGGTCATATATAAAAAATTAATCTTAGTCAGTAGAAATAATGATATTATGGAAACTTTACTAGACACAAAGTAATGCATTGGAAACAATGTATTTAGAAGCTGTACTATGATCTGTGTGTGCTAACTGATCAAATAGTAATTCTGTGCTACTAATGCACCTATGAAGGAAGAGCCTTAAGTGAGATCAAGTGAGATATTTTCAAGAGATAGCAGGAAATCTTAACTTTGAAAAGGTATTAGTCATCCAGAACACTCAAAGACAGATGACTGTAGCTGTAAAGCAAGGTAACTGAAATGGTTGGGTGAATTGGCAAAAATTAACTTCGTGGAGAATTGATGGGGCTGGGGTATAAGAACACTAGTGAATGGAGATTTATTTTTCATGAAAAAAATAGACTGGCAATTGGAATATTTCTGCTGTTTCAAAAAAGAAAGCAAGTAACAGGAGTGTATAGCCTGTGAGGATAAAAGAGTCATCTTTCCTTTCCACTCTGGATTTACAAAACTTCGCCTGGAATGGTGTTTGGTATATCACACTTCAAGGAAGGCGTAGACTATCCAGAAGAGAGCAAAGACAATGATCCAGAGCCTACAAAGCCTGATTTGCTAGGAAGGACAGAAGGAATTGTTGGTATTTGCTCTACACAAGAGAGAGAAAGAGGGAAATCTTCAAGTATGTAAAAGGGGAGCCTTGCACTTGTGTGATCTCTGCGTCTCCCTGACGCAATTAATACAGAACTGTTGCCTGTCTGTTGTGGCTACGAAGAATAATAACGGGCTCAGTTTGGAGTGAGAAATAGTTTAGATATAGATATTGGGGCAAAAAAAAAAATCCAGTCGCAAACGTAGTAAGGTCTTGGGAGGACTTTGATACCTTTATCATTGGAAATCTTCAAAAAGTTATATGTGTAAAGAGTACCTGCTTAAGATTTGCACATATCACTACTGTGTATGTGGCAATAATTATGTACTGCCTGCCCAACACCTTCAGCTTCTCCCTGCCCTGGACTTTCTGGATGGGGTCGAAGGAAGAAGGACGAGCACAACTTACTTGGTAAGAAACTTTTTCTCTTTTTCTGTTTGTAAGAACATTCACACTGAGAAACTTTAAGCAGTGCTCCTGACAGTTTACCTGAAGGAAGATCCTTAAGGATGGGCAAAGATTGTACATGCCCTTCTGTCACACTTGTCAGGCTAAGTACCTGAAGCGATGGATGTCATTGTCTAATCACAGGTGCTGCTCATGCCTGGATGGAAGTGAATTGATGGACTGCATCCTTATTGCTTGAAGAATCAAGCTGCCTGAAAGTAGGGGCGAGCTGGCTGTGTAAGAGAAATGCATTGGCCTCTTCCACAGTGGAACTGCACCACGAATTGGTGGCAGTTGGGCCCAACTGTCTCATCGTCAAGAACAGGGAAGGTTTTGCAACGCACAGGTGGGTTATTTGGGCCCGGAAGGGTGTTTCACACTGAGTAGTCTGGCAGTGTAGGTCCTGGGACAAGGAATGTGGCAAGTCAGTGTCCAGCATCAGTGGATCTAATCTCTGCAACAGAGATGCCTGTTTAGGAGGGATCCTTCACGTAATGATGTAGTGAAAGCTTTGTCCAGGCCTCATCCAGTCTTACTTCGTTTGGTTCCTCAAGGGCCAAAGGAATTGGCCCAGCCTAAGCTTTAGCTTTTGTGTTTGGCTGCAGGGAGGAAGGCAGTATGGGGTAAGAGTCCAAGATCTGCGGGGCCTCTCAGGGTCCTCTCCTGGGGGTGCTAGGTGTCTTCTGGATGATGAGACAACTGGCCTTTTTGGCAGTAGATCCAGCCTGTCATGACCAAGGTCAGATGTGATGCTCGCTCGAGGAGTGGTAAACTGTAGCTGGGCTTTGTTTTCTCACTGTTCTGGTATCCACCACCAAAGCTAGTTTTTCTAAAACTTTCTGTCCATGAAAGTCAAGGTCACGCTAGGCTTCGGATTTAAGCAGCTTCTTCCAACTTTCATTCTAACACGGAATGCAGATTTCATTTAAGTAATGTTAATAGTTGCCTGCTAGCAAAATATTTTTTCTTTCCTGGGCAGTTGTGAGCTGTAGCTCAAAGTGCCTTTTGCACTATAACTTTGTGCATGAAAAGGTTTCAGTCTCAGAGGGTCTATGCTGAAGCTTCTGTACTGTGACTTGCACCCAAATGAGTTGGAGCCGAGTCTCTTTTGAGCAGCTTTGCACATCCCTGTGGATGGGATTAGGCAGAACGCTATGGAAAGGGGCATTTGCGGCAGGCTAGCCGGGGAGGGCAGTGTTACTGTACAAATACAGTCCAAATGCCAAGTTATAAAGCATCAGAATTTCATACAATTATAGCCTGACAACTATACACAAGTGGATGAGTAGAATATGTTTGAGATGCTATAAAGGTTAACAGTGCTCTAATTTAGGCTAGGTTAGTTCTAGAAGACAGACTAATAGATGCTGTTCTGCACTGTCCTGTAGCTCTAAATGTTTGGACTGTATTAATTATTCTCAACTTTACAGCTGTCAGGGTATGAACTAATTAAAAAAAAAAGCTGTTTCAAGGAAGATTTTGCAATGTGACCTCTTTATGAGATGACAATGGAAACACTGAGTGTTTGACTGACTGACTTTAAAAGACCTGTCCTTTAGGCAGAACCAACAGTGAGATTTTTAGTGCAGCTTATTAAAAACAGGCACCAGAAAATCAGTCAGTTAAATGGCACACAATGCTATTGCTGGAAGAGTAGCTCCTGCTAACACAGCTTGAATGGCTAAAGTTGATAAAACCAGGGTTTGAGAAGTCATAGGCTGTCCAGAATTAGTTGGCTCCTGTAAGCCATAAGGTGTGTTGTGGTTGTCAGTGAAGCTGGATTTTGGTGGAAAAAACAGCAGAAATTTCAAAAGCCCGTTAACACAAAACTCTTCTGAAATGCAGCACATTTAGTCTGTGCTGCTCTTGTGACACTGAGGCCGGAGCAGTTCCCGACGCATTTGAGGGTAGCTCAGTAACCAGTGACTTAGCTGCTTTGGCATTCCACAGGGAGGGCAGTATCAGCTTCTGCTGAACTGGTGCCAAATCAGCCACAGACCATCATCTTTGATGTCAGGATCTGCAAAATCATTGAAACAAGGTTGGTTTTGCCTGCATCTGGCCCTCTCACATGATGTCATCGCTTTCTTTAAAGGGCTAGTGAATTGGATTTTTGTTCGGATGTCAGAACTGTGCTTTTCATTATTTCCCTGCTGTTGATTGTTGGTCCATCAGGACTGTGCATATGGTAAAACATCCACTGCTGTCCTGGGCTTCTGGCACCAACCTCTTAACAAGCTGCGATTTTAAGAATGTCCTGAATTTGACATTTTCACTAGTATTTCCAACTTTACCCCTTTCATGCTTCTCTGTGTCTTACCAGGAGACTGATACCAGAGTTTAGGCAGTCCCTCTCAAAGAAACACACAAGGAAAAGCAGGGCTTACCACTTTTACTGGTTTCTGTGGTACTGTTCCAATATGAGCAAGATGATGTCTACCAGGTAAAGTTTTTGGCTTCAGCTTAGGTCCGTGAATAAAGCAGCAGTAACATAACCTTTGAGTCCATGACACCAGTGGAAGGGACACTCAGGATTCCCTGGAGGCATTGTGCTGGTGGGCATATTGGGCTTTTCTTCCCTCCATCTACAGGCCTAGCAGTAGGAAGTGTAACTCTAGTGGCCCAGCATATAGTGCTATATACTCTCCCTTCTTAGCACTGACTAACAAACAGCCAGTGCCCAACAGAGCCAGCAGAAAGATGGTACCCAGTTCTAGAGCTTATCTAGACAGTGTATAGGTTTAGTCAGTAGAAATGCCTTGTCTTCTAAGCCTCTCCACCTCAGCATGAAAGAGTCATTAACTACCCCTAGAATGCAGGGAATTTTTTCTAGCCCTGATGACCAAGGAGCCACTCAGCAGGTAGGGGTTAGTGATGCCCCTAGCTGTGCCAGATGATGTTTCACATTCCCCTGCTGTTAGTTCTGAGCTTGCTCATTTACCTTTCCTCTCTCAGGACTCCAGTTTTCCCCATTTGAAAATAAAACAAAAATACTCAATCCTCAGGATTTGAGCAGATGGAATAATATACAAATGGCGTAGGCCTATGGCAACACTATCCTCCTGCTGCTTGTTCCAAAAGCTAGTCTCAGCCCAAGGCTGCACCTGACTAGCAAGGGGCTAAAAATGGCAAGGAAGCCATAATGCATCCCTTGTCTGCCAAAACCTGTACTAGCACAAACCTCACATTTTATCTTCAAGTGACAGTACAGGAAGGGTCAAGTTCCTCCTTGCTGCCTGGGAAATAAAAGACCAGGAGTTCAGCTATGTGCTTGCCAACCCTTCCATGGACAATAAGCCAAATTCCTGGAAAAAACATTGAGCTGGTGTTACAGAAAATACAGTACAAAAATTACAGCAACAACCAAAGGCCTCAATCCACCTCAACACAGGCACCATGTAGATAAGGAACCCATCCCATCTCCACAGAGGTCTCTGTAAGTTGTTTAAAAATTAACTGGGGCCCTTAGAGAAACAGCTCATTCCTTCTCATGTCACTTCACAGTAATTTCTCTCTGAAGGATGAAAGAAAAAACTCTGACATCAGACTATGGTACAGGGCTGCAACTCGACATTTGCACCCAGTAAGCAAAAATGTCCCTGGACGGTATTGCAGCCCTACCTGTGCTTGTGAAAGCAAAAATTTACATGAGAAACATTTTAAAAAATTTGTTGTAATAAATTTTAGTGGCCATGTACAATTGAAATCCTTCCTGTCATGTGATGTTAACAGAAATATTCAATTCTTCTACAAGACTCACTTTCACACAAGCAGTATACAACTATAAACATTATTAAAGTTTATTAACAAAAGCTTTGTACATATCTTTTCATACACTTGGAATTTTACATCTAGTCAAAATAACAGCACATTTCCATCTTACCTTTTGTACAAATTGTTACAGAATATCCACCAGTGGGTTGAGTAAGTAAAATAAACCACTGGTTTACTTTTGTAAAGTATCTACAAAAGTGATTTGCGACATTTTTAAAAAATTCCCCAGAACATATAAAAATAAATTATTTTTACTTTTCAATTAAATCTACTAATTAGAAATATTACAAATCAAAATATCAATGTTTTCTTATGAATTCTTCACAATACAAAACAGATTCACAAAACTTTATTTACAGAAATGAGGTAAGAACTGTGCAATGTTTAACTAAGAAACATATTGCAGAATTAACATGTTCTTCCAAATAAGTACACAGTGGAGGTCTAATTACAGCTGGGTCTTTTCCTCTAATAATTCCCACCTTAATATTGATTAGTGGTCATTACCCCCATTTAAACTATCCTTCACCATACTGCATAGACTCACGCCATGAAATCAGCTACTGTCAGAAGTGTTGTAACACAAGTTCACCCGTTTCAACCACCGGTAAATTTTAGTGGGAAATATTAACTCACTTTTTTGGTAATTTATTAGTGAAAAGTGACCCAGGTAACAATCTGCCTGAGCTATCTACAGTGGTATAAACACCTCTAGTAAAGGCAGAATAACAAGGCTGCTGGTGCAACACAGAATATTCCCGCTGCTAACAAGGACATGGCTAGTGCATGATCAGCTGTTTGCAGCCATTTCAACAAAATGGAGGTAGCAACAGGCACTTGGTTTAGGCCAAACACTACACATACTTCTTCCAGTGTGGCCTTCTCATCTGGTAAGAAAACTTTGTCACTGGAACCAAACCGGCTCCTTTAAAAACCTCAGAACTCTAAAACCTACACCAAAATTAATAAACTTTGGATTCCATACTGTAATTCTTACTCAGGAAAAACTCCCACTATATAACAACAGGAATTTAAAGGAATAAAAAGTTCAGAAGTGGATTCCCTTATGAGTCAGGTTTCAAAACAGGTGCATAAAAAAGAAATGACAAACATCAAGTCCCGGCTGCCATTACAAGCTTAGTCTAAAAGGATATATTGCAACTGCAGCAGAAGATCAGACTGGGTAGGGTTGGGGAGGGTTTGTTTTTTAAAACTACTGCTCTGAAACCAAAGTAACGCATGATTGCAGACAGTTTACTAGCCTTTAAATTTATATGATTATGACTGAAGAGTCAAGTATATGTTTTTCTGTGGTTGAATTTGTACTTAGTACCATCATATCGACAAAATAATTATGGTTTGCAGAGTTTTATCTACTTCACAGTCTGAACCATTAAAAAGTATGTCCATTTTAGTGCAACAAGAAAGCAAATGAAAGCCTACCAAAAATATCCTTATGAAAATTATTAACCTTTTGCTGTGCAGTAGGAGTTCCTTGTTACATTTCTTCAATCTGCAGAAAGGAAAACTGCAGTTTGCAGCCAGATGAAGTGCTATAACAGCAGGACATGCAGTTCTCAAGTATCTTTCAAACGTCAACTCTTCTCTGACGCAACTGGTCCAGTTTTATCATTGAGCCTCTGTGTAAGAGAAAATACTTCTAAAAATCAGATTATAAAATACAGAGTTAAGTAAAATCAAATTCATACAAATGACAAAGCTGATGAGGCACGTTTAACCAGAGCTATCTAAATAGTAACTTCTGCATTGTAAAGAATAATCATGTATTGTAGAATTAAAAAGTGGGAAAGGAAAGAGTAATTAAAGGATGAATCCTACACTGAAGCAGCTCGTACTAAGGTCATCACACCTGGCATTAGAAAACACCAATTTTGCTTCTACTTTCATTCCAACAAGACTTGCTGTTCCTGGCTGTTGGCCTCTCCTTAGAACTGCGTGATGGTCAAGACAAATACCAGGTGACCTCTGCTACATTTTATCCACTGGAGAGGGCTGAAATCTACACTTCATCAGAATAAAAATACAATTTCCATTTTGCCCTGTCACAATTATCTTTCTTTCATAAATTGCTACAAAGCCGTTTCCTGCAAGTACTGAACAGGACTGAGCAAAAACCTCATCTCATTCACTGAGCATTCAGAAATGCTTGAAAACCTGTTCCAGCTGGAAATGAGATTAAAACATTCAATGCAATGTCTCAATTCTAACCTTAACAGAAAAAAAAAAAAGGCAATTTCAAAAGAAACATATTCCTAAGGGTTTTGTTCAAAAGATGTTCTGAGATTTCCTGGAATTGTTTAGAGCTAACTGTTGTAAGAACAAAAACTAAAATTGTAACAGCGTATTTGTAAAATATACTAGTGCTGCCCAGTCACGCTGTCCAAACCTAGTAATAGCCATTTCAAAAAATTCAAAATAAGGTCACATATAGAATAATTTGTTCTGATGCAAACCAAATATAAGGTCTCAATTCCATTCACTACTAATTTTTAGAAAATGAGGGGAGAGAAATTTTAAACATACTAGAACAAATTGTGAACATTTCTAAATGAAGGCAAGGCACTGAGCAAACCCCTGTGATAGAGCGCTGCTGCTCTGACAGTCAGCGACCAGGAAAGAACGTGATCCTACCGGAGTCCTGCAGTTTGTAGTGCAGTTGCAACATCACAACAACAGACCAAACTGGAAAGTGACAACGACCATGCACAAAGCTTAATAAAAGTAAACGCTTGTGTTTTAGAATGGAAGGGAGCTGTTTCCAGGAAAACTGTCTTGAAAATTCATCATTTATGTTTTGTGACTCACCTTATGTTTGGGAAGTACCACAAAAGCCCAGCTGCCCGAGTCCTCCACCACCGTGCCCCTAAAGTAGCTAAGGGCTTTGGGGGTGGGGAGCAGAGAGGGGACCAATATCTAGCCCCACACTCTTCCCGCCTGCTGTTGCAGACAAGCTTCCCTTTTTTCACTACCACTGCCATTTGATGTCTTCTCCAAGGAATACTGGAACTTTGTCTTCCTGCTCCACTCATCCTTTGTTTTTACAAGTTCCACATGCTCCTTCCCTTCTCATCCTCTCTTACCTTAATTGTATGACCCTTAGAGAATGAAGCCTATTCTCTGAATACTTGAAGAAAGAATTCCTGTCTCGGGGGTGGAGGTTACAGGCAAACACTGAAGGCAATGGAACATCTTTGCCAGAAAAATCTGTCTTGTTTCCTTACCTGTCTAGGAAAGGTTTTATTACTCTATCAAGCAAAGGAGTTGCTCAGCCTCCCAGTGTACAGCCTCATCTTCCCACGCCAGAACCAGGATAGACATAGACCATTCTCCTAATACATATTTCACCTCCCAGCAACAGGCTCCTCATCTCTCAACTCATCAACTAATCTCTGCAGCTCCACAGTGCCTGAGGCCTGGCCAGGACAAACTCTTCAAGTAAGGTGATAAAAGAAATGATCTACAAAATAGTGGACACAAAGTTGGGGAAGAAGGTTGGGGTGAGGAGGACTAGGCCTGCAGTTGTAATTACAAGAGGAAGGCATGGGTCACTGTATTGGTGTCCTGATCCAAGGAAACAGGAGTGTGCAGCAGACAGGTTAGGTGTAAGTGACTACAAGTTCACAGAGTTCTGAACCTCTTCAAGTGCAGCCCAAGGCTCAAGAAAAATAAAATAAAGAAAAAATCCACCATCCTTGAGTTCTGAATACAGGCACATAACTTGCTGCTTATCTTTTAGTTACCTTATGGAGATACTACATTGAAAACGAGGTGAGAAATATACTTACTGTCACCTTCTGAGCTGCGTTGTCTCCGTGAATTGTAAGAAATGGGTTGGTGGTAGCTGCATTAAGTGGTGAAGCCTGTGTGCCTGAAAGTAAGTTGTTTATGGGTATCTGTGCTCCTCCAGTAATCTGCAATTGCTGTACTTCAGACTGATGGTGTTGGTGGTGGTGATGTTGTTGCTGTACTAATTGATACAAAAGGGCCTGATGTTGTTCCTTGAGTAATATGAGGAGAGGGAGGAGGGGAAAAAAAAATAAAAATCAAGAATTAGTTACTGAAAAATAGTTCCTCTCTGGGTTCTTGCTTATCCAAATCTTCAGTCAGTGCAACCCTTAACCTAATCCCAGCTAATTTAGGTTACTAATCAGGGAACTAATGAAGTTCCACAAGACTGTGGGAAAGGAAAGAAAGCACCTATAAAGTTTCCTGAAATCAGTAGCTCCACAGAAGTTCAGCTAAGCCTGCTGGCTTCATCGGGCCTGTATCAGAAGAAACAGACCTGAGGAGAATATCAAACCATGTTTGTCAAAGTACTAAAACTACACAATTAACAATACAAATAGTTAAACCAGTAACATAATAGCCTATATGAACACTGCAAGGCAGAGCAAAGACAGCTCATGAGATGATACCCAAAAATCTCTTCTAGAGTCCTACTGGAATTGGAGAATAGCTTAGGATATTGTTAGAATCCATCCATGGTCCCAAACTCTGCTGCCCACAGCTGATGCTGAGAGAGACAAGCCACCATGTCCACACGGGACAAAATGGGACTGAAGGCTCTAGGCAATGATTCTTCTAGCAATACACACAGCCCAGTAATATCCTGTAATTTGGCATGACTATCATCCAAAAAGGTTGAAGCAACTGAAAAACTAAAAAATTATCAAAACCTGTAATATCAAGTTAAACACATTTCTAGTATTTATATTAGGCTGAGGAGTTTATCCATGCCTTAGAATATAACAGGAATAAATCATAATTAACTGGAAACTTACTGATGTGAGTTGCTGGGTACTTAGTAATTGCTGAAATTGCTGGTGTTGTTGATGGAGTAGAAGTTGTCTCTGTTGGTCAGGAAGTAATCCTAGTCCCGAGGCACTGTAGGGTTTGACAGGGTAATACTGTAGTTTATATGAAAGTATGGGAACTTTTTACTTCAGCTTTCCATTGAAACAAAGAAAAGATATATATGAACAGACAGTTCCTATTTAGCATTTTGATTGCATACTGTCAAATATTAAATAGTCTGTCTGTCCAGTTGCAGTTTTTGATACATACCTAGACATTACCACCACCACCCATCTCATTTATGCTGAGCAACAGCAACACCTTGCCTGTAACCTAAGTCTACTACACGCACATTACTTTAAACTCAGATAATAATTACCATTTCTACATTTTTTTCAAATACTTTATACAGAAAGGCCACATTTTATAATATAAGACAGCTCTTGCCAACCTTTAGTATTTTGTTCATTAGCATTTACTTTGTCTTGTTTTCCTTCTAATTCTCATCTTTTGCTATATTCAAATCTTATCACTTTTGTCTATACCTTGTCTGTAATTTAGCAAACACATTCAGCCTTGAAGTGGGCCAACTGATGCTGCCACGGAATGAAGGAGGCTGCCTCTGCACTTGCCTACTACTTAGCTCCCAGTCCCTCTTTTCATGCCTACATAGAATTTTCTGCAGCTATTTAGGAAATTGGGCAGTGTCCTGGTTTCAGCTGGGATAGAGTTGATTTTCTTTCTAGTAGCTGGTATGGTGTTATGTTTTGGGTTCAGTATGAGAATATTGTTGATAACACACTGATGGTTTCAGTTGTTGCTAAGTAGTGTTTAGGCTAAGTGAAGGATTTTTCAGCTTCTCATGCCCAGCCAGCGAGAAGGTTGGAGGGGCACAAGAAGTTGGGAGGGGACACAGCCAGGACCCAAACTGGCCAGAGAGGTATGTTACGTCATGCCCAGTATATAAACTGTATATAAGCATGCCCCCAGTATATAAACTGGGGGGAGTTGGCTTGGGAGGGATCCCTGCTTGGGAACTGGGCATCAGGCGGCAAGTGGTGAGCAATTGCATCGTGCATCACTTGTTTTGTATATTCCAATTTTTTTATTATTATTGTCATTTTATTATTGTTATTATTATTTTCTTCCTTTCTGTCCTAGTAAACTGTTCTTATCTCAATGCACGAGTTTTACTTTTTTTTCCCTAATTCTCTCCCCCATCCCCCTGGGTGGGGGAGAGTGAGTGAACGGCTGCATGGTGCTTAGCTGCTGGCTGGGGCTAAACCACAACAGGCAGGGAACTGTTCCAGCTGACAACTGGTCTGAAAATAAAGGGTTTCTTCAACTATGCCAGTTCACTGCAAGAACAACAGCATGAACAAGGGTGGGTTTGGAACAGAAGACCAGGAAGACAACTGGATTTATTCTTTCGGTACTAGTGTTAGCTTTTACTAGTTTAAAACACCCATTCAATTATTGTGTAGTTTCATGATAGGTTTACCCTGCTATTGAAAGGTTAAGTATTTCCCTTTCAGCTGTACCTTTCTGTCCCCTCCCCTTGCTCTAGGTCTTGCACAATGAGCTGCATCTCATGGGAACTGAGCTGAAACCTAAGCCAATACAAAACACAATGAAAGATTATCTATTAATGTAGACGAGGTTATTGTGTGAATTCACAAGCACTAGTACCAGCAAGAAGGTGTGCATACAATGACCAACAAGATGACAGGATTGCCAGGTGTGATTGGTAGTAAGGAATTAAATTAACTTAAATCAGCCACAAATCCACACAGTTAGGCTACAATCATTTAGCTCTTTAGGACATAGTATTTGCATATTGTAGTCCGGCTCTGTGATCACTTTGACATTTAGTTTGTATCAACCAGCCAGTATGAAAATACCCATATCATCACCATTCTCTACTGCTGGGACAGGGCAAGCAACGCAAACTTTGTTTCATACTTCATTTGACAGCCTCAATGCTATGTGAAACACGTGCTGGGCTACACTTATTAGCTCCTATAGGGAATGGGAAAACTATGTTTATGGGGCCACATGGGATCCACCAAGGGTACTGAGGCAGCCGATGGAAGTGCTCACCAAGCCATTTTTCATCATTTATCAGCAGTCGTGGCTAACCGGGGAGGTCCCTCTTGACTGGAGGTCAGCAAATGTGACATCCATCTACAAGAAGGGCCAGAAGAAGGCTCTGGGGAACTACAGGCCTGTCAGTCTGAGCTCGGTGCTGGGGAAGGTCATAGAGCAGATCATCCTGAGTGCCATCACATGGCACGTATAGGACAACCAGGTGATTGGGCCCAGTCAGCATGGGTTTATGAAAGGCAGGTCCTGCTTGACCAACTTGATCTCCTTCTATGACAAGGTGACCTGCTTAGTGGATGAGGGAAAAGCTGTGGATGTTGTTCACCTGGACTTCAGTAAAGCCTTTGACACCATTTCCTACAGCATTCTCCTGGAGAAACTGGCTGCTCATGGCTTGGACAGGCGGACACTTCGCTAGGCAAAAAACTGGCCAATAGCATCCTGGCTTGTATCAGAAATGGTGTGGCCAGCAGGACTAGGGAAGTGATCATTCCCCTGTACTCGGCACTGGTGAGGCAGCACCTCAAATCCTGTGTTCAGTTTTGGGCCCCTCACCACAGGAAAGACATTGAGGTGCTGGAGTGTGTCCAAAGAGGAGCAACGAAGCTGGTGAGGGGCCTGGAGCACAAGTCCTCTGAGGAGCAGCTGAGGGAACTGGGGTCCTTTAGTCTGGAGGAAAGGAGGCTGAGGGGAGACCTTATCACTCTCTACAGCTACCTGAAAGGAGGTTGTAGCAAGGTGGGCGTGGGTCTCTTCTCCCAAGTAACAAGCGATAGGACAAGAGGAAATGACCAAGTTTTGCCAGGGGAGGTTTAGATTGGATATTAGGAAAAATTTCTTCACCGAAAGGGTTGTCAAGCATTGGAACAGGCTGCCCAGGGAAGTGGTGGAGTCACCATCCCTGGAGGTGTTTAAAAGACGTGTAGACATGGTGCTTAGGAACATGGTTTAGTGGTGGACTTGGCAGTGTTAGGTGTACGGTTGGACTTGATGATCTTAAAGGACTTTTCCAACCTAAATGATTCTATGATTTCCCATCATCTACTTCACAACATTCATTACTATCACTTCTGCTACTCTCCTGGTCCGCAAACCTCGTCAATGGTCTTTGTCCTTAGCCAAAAAGTCAATTCTACTGACCCTTGTCCTGTGCAAGCCATTTTGCGTCTGATTATTCTTGCTGTGCTGTTTTTTCCCTTGTATTATATCCTTTTCTGAAACTGCATAATCAGAACTGCACATAATATTCCAGGTACGTACACACCAAAGATTTAATGTGGCAGAACACAAAATGGATAACACCGCTCTGTTTATTCCCCAATAACTGCTAGCAATATTTGTTTGATTGTTGATGAAAGCAGAGATGACACTTCACCTATCCAAGGAAACTCTTAGTTTTTCCTCCTGAGCTACAACAGCAAAACTCAGGCCTAACATAAGCTAGAACTGCGCATGTGTTTGACTTTCAAATGATGACACTCATCTATTAATTGAAATTCCTTAAAACAGCTTTAAATTCAATTGTATCAAAAATATTTGTAATAACTGCAAAAAATAAGTACCTTCAGTTTGACTAATATTACCATTATTTCCTTCTTCTCTTTACCTTACTTTTTCTGTATTCTTCTATACTGGAATGAATCTTCTCCACTGTTTTTTCATTCTTTTACCCCATTCTTTCTTTTCTCCTATGTCATGTTTTACCTTTGCACTTCTTTTTTCTGCTGCTGTTCTCCTTTCTCTTTATCTGCTCTGCCTTCCCTCTTGCTCTGCATTGGCACTTGAACGAAAATACCCTCAGCCAGCAGCTGAGATCTAAGTGTCTAGAAACAAAACCTAACTGCAGAAGACAAAATGCTGCAGCTCCTGAGCTTCCCAGAAGAGGCAGTTCTCTGGATTTCACCACAGAGCTTTCTCTAAACCAGATCAGCTTAGAATGTAAATTTAATCCTTTTTAGCTTCTCATTAAAAGGTATATGATCAGTCTGAAACTCTCCATCCTACAGTCTTCTCTGGTTGCGAGAATGTAAAGAAACAATCCTATCTTTTTCCTCAAATCACTTAATCTCCCGGTTGCTAGCAATCTGTATTAAGCCATCTTTTTCCCAGAAAAGGATCAACTATTTTTCTCTGCCGAATGAATGCAGGCTCTTTTACCTACAATTTGAAACTCCCCCAAACAGCAATGTGCAAATCAGTGTTTTCTCACCTCCCTATGTCCCACAGTTAAAGAGCTCACAGGAATAAGGACAATATGCATAAAGAAGTCTTCATGTATTGGTGAATAATCTAGCTATTTTTCAAATGAAACTGTCCGAACAGATTCTGAAGCTTGGGAAGTTACTGTAAGTAGCAACTTACAGGAACATCTGGGAAGTCTTTTAATTACAGAACAACACACAAAAGTTAGAAAGTAGGGCTCAGTTCTCATGTGGCTTTCCATTGTCTTGTGAATAATGATTTAAACCACCTCCAAACTTGATCACCACCATACAATCTAAGCAGGTTCAGAGAGCTCACAATAGCATGACAGCAAACCTCCATGCCTGCCTGTGCTTGTTACCAATACCTAGAGGCATTTAACATTAAAGAAATAGTCAGCTAGTTGCCACTGAAACAGCATTGAACTAAGAGTAGCAGGAATAAACAGTGTTCCATACAGTTTTAGAACCAATAATCTCAACCAGTAGAAAATACTTTTTTTTTCCCCCCTTCATTCAAAGTCATCCCAGAGCCTCTTCACAACTTAGTTCCAGTAACAGAAGTTTTTTCATATTTTTCACTGAAGCGTAATGGAAGAAACAGTAATGAGGAATGTATGTGTCATTACTAAAACATTAGCACTGATTAGCATTAGTGCTTTCTCGGCCTGAACTTTTTTCCTCTAAATACACAATTAGAAATACTGAAAACTCACAGAAAATGGGGGCAATTGTGAAACACCTCAAAAGGAAGGGGGCCCAGCAAATCATCTGGATGAGCTCAATAAAGCAGAGAATTGCATGAAAAGTGCACTTTAAAATTTAATATAAACATTAATTTTAAATTACTGTTATCGATGGAGCAGTGCAGAAAAAAACAGAAATAGAGAAATGGAAATGTTGGCAGAGTTGTGCCTCATAAGCTTGTTGTAGCAGAAAACTGGGAATCATTGGAGTATTCCAGACTATGCTAAAAGTCAGAATGAGGGCTTATGAACAGGATACTAGTTGCAGTATTCTGTGTGAACTGGAATAGCTTACTAATAGGCTACACACTCAAGAGTTATAGCAGTTCTGATGGCTAATAAAAAAAAAAAAAAACACCAACAAAAAAAAACTTCTGCAATATAAAGAGTCAGAAATAAATAATCTGTGTATTAACAAAATCATATGAGAAAACAGCAACACGACCAGTATATTTTGGCATTACCTGAAAGTGGAACGCATTATACAACTGGTTAATATTATTGATTTTGTCTAGTGTTTCTCACTTTTCTTCACATTTCGTGTTTTCAGCAAACCTCTGATACTCAGAGAAGAAAACTTTCCATTAACGAAATGTCTTTTGTTTAACCTGTGATATTTTATTTTCATATATGATATAAAATATGAAAAAATATAACCTCCTCCATAAAAGTATAATAGCACATGAAAACAACAGGATACACTTGAAAGTATCGGGTTTTATGAGCCTATTGAAGCAATACCACAGAATGATATGGTACACAAATATTCAGGAGCTGCCAAACGAACAGCAAGGAAAGAAACTGGAAAAAGAAGCTACAAAACTAGGGATCCCTTGCATCATTCCAATCACATATGCCTTTTTTGGTGGGTAATCCACCATAATCTCCAAAAATAAACTCTACTTAAAGACAAGTAATCCACTCCCTATTTGCAGGCATTTCTTTCTACATAGAACTGTAGTTCTCCTTCCTAAGCGAGGACAATACAAGGGGTGGGGGGAAGGGGAGCAGGGAGAATGACTTAGCCCAGGCTCTGCTCCATCCCAAAATACTTCCAGACCAAGCAGTCCATTCCCCTCCCTGGAAAGCAGCTGTCTCCTTTTGTTACCCATTTGCCTTGCAGCTCAAGCAGCAGCAGTTTATGCTGCTGAGGATGCCTGGTTTTGGGGAAGGGCTGTTACAAATACTCAAGCATGGATCTTTTGATGCATTTAATGAAAAAAAAAAAAAAAAAAAAAATCCTTAGGAACACCACTTGAAAAACTAATTTTGTTGTCTTTGGAGTCAGATGCAGAGAACTGAAAACACCATGCAACTGTATTACTACTTTGGTTAGTTATGCCTATTACACCTTTAATTACATGACCATATACTGTTCTCCTTCTCCCCCTCCCCCCTTCTTACTGCAACAAATGGTAGCTTTTCCAGTGCTCCTTTAATCCTGAAAGAACAATTGGCAGGACAAAGAATATTGTTTTCTGAACTAAAAAAAGAGCTGAAGCACATTTACATAATTACATTTGTTTGGGAATGTGACTTGATTAAAAAAACAGGAATAAATGGACACTAGGATTCGCAAAAACTAAACAGAAAACATGTCTTCTTTAACTTAACTATTTGTGCTTCCATTAAATGCTTTCTTACTTTCATTCACAGATCAGGAGCAGAACCTAGTTTGGCAATTACAGGCTAAGGAAGAAACAGTACCTTTTGAATAAGACGGTTTAAAAATATAGCTCAACTAAAGAACAGCAGGCACTACCAGGAAAAACATAAAATCAGCAAATTCTTACCTGTTATTTAACGTGGTTGGCAGAGGATGCGTTGCATTGGGTGGCACAGTTGCATGAGTGAGAGGAGAAGGGTTCTGCGATATTGTTGCTGGGGTCTGAATTACCCCATTTAAAGCCCCTACAATTCCATTGATTGCCAGCTGGCTGGCTGGCAGTGCTCCAATTATTCCACCCACACCAGGCACTGCAGGAATGGTGGAGGTTACAGTCTGCATACCACTAGCTAGTGCCCCCACTGTCACACCATTGACCTGTTGAACTCCTGTGACTCCTGAGCCTTGCTGAGCTGGACTCTGCCCAGCAGGTGGTGGAGTGGAAAGAGCTGATGAACTGCTGGTGCTTTGTCCGCTGGAGGTTATCTCCTGGTGTAAAAACAAACAACAAAACCCCCTCAGCTGCATAAAATTTCACCTAACAGCACAATGCAAGGACTATGAGGAGTTAACTTGTAACAAGTTTAAGTTTAGAAGAAACAAATAAAAATTACCTGATTTAATACAGGAAGAGAATTGTCTGGTAAAAAACTGTTTCCCAGATGAGGGCTTTTACTGCTGTTCAAGGAATCAGTGCTAGGTGCTAAAGTAATTATTTCAAAAAAAACACACAGTGGTTAAATTTCTGTAACATGTAAAAAGATTCAGAATAATTACTTTAATGTCAAAGGTAAACACAGAAAATGTAAAGTCAACCTTAAAATCATTGCTGAATAGTAAAATATTAACCACTTGGTGAATCAACAGATTCAAACAGATGTGCTCCAGACTGAAGTAAAAAAGAAACTGCACTGGAACAAGTAGTAATGTCTCATATAAATCTTCCAATTGACTTTTAAACATTTAAACACATCAACAAATACTTAGTCGATATTCATCCTACATGTATATACATCTCCCATCAATGGCATATGTGGATGAAATAGATATTTCATATAAATACATGTTCGAATTACTTTGACACTTTAATACTCTCCTCTACTTACCTGCTTGTACTGGAAAGGCATGTACTTGATGAGAAGGGCTAGGATTTGAAGTTATTGTTGGAAAGGGCACCGAAAGCTGTGCATTGAGTAGCTGAAGCCGCTCCTTCTTAGCTGTTAGATTCTTTATCTGTTCTTCTAACCGCCTATTTTCAACCTGAAGTTGGTGTAATGATTTAAGCATTCCTAAAACTAAGGTAAAAATGCATATGTTATCTCTCATAACCACATTTAAAGAATGAATAACATCTTCAATTTTTTTATTTCTGTGCTACAGTTTGAGACTAGCATTAAGTCATATGTAAAAATATAAATAAAATTATTACTGAGAAATACATTACAGAAATTTGACTTTAAGTGGAAAGGTTTAGGATCATTTTGTGTAATTTAAAGTGCAGAAAAAAGTACATAGCGTGTGATAGAGATTTTGTAATACATCTACACCCTGGCTTAAATACAGATGAAGCTACATGATTAGGGCTGACATTAATTTTAAGGAAACAGCAGTACATGATAACTTATCCCCAAACCAGAATATAAAAATAGTATTATTTTAGCAGCACAGGTTCATTGCATAGTTGGGGGGGAAAAAAAAAAATCCATTTCAGCTGCAGTATTAGAAATTTTAAACATTATCAAAACAGAAAAAGGTTGACAAATATGCATTCAACTAACAATACAGCCAACCAACAACATTCACAAGTTTGTGAAAAGGGAGGTTTTCTGCTTTAAGGCCTTGTGCAGTGAATCATAAACTTACAGAAACAATGAAAAAAATGTCATCCAACGTGAAGTTATAACGACACACCTTGCTGCGAGCAGGAGCTCTCATTTGCTTTGAGCGGCGATCTACAAATCACCCAGCAGGGAGCACTGTGTGAGCACTGCAGTTACCACCCCTTTTTTTGCAGAAAAAGGGCATCATCTTCTGTACTAACCTGATTTTTACTAAGCACAGTTTTCTCAAACTCCGATTTGGTTTCAGAACTTGGATTTCCCAACTAGTACTAGAGTGTGACTGTAAAGCCACAGGGATAGCCATTTTTTTTTTAATTCTAAATTGTATTTGTTTAACATGACCTCTGGGCCTACTACAGACATAAGTCTACTGGCATAGGCACATCTGGTCATTTCCCAAGGATTTAGCTTTTATCCCTCCTCTTCAAGTACATACAAAGGAACCCTCAGTGAGCCCAAATGAGATGCAATAAGACTTAGCTAAACCTGTCCTCCAGCTATCATGTTTAAAGGATTATCCCTGCATGAATTTCCTCACAATTAGCATTTTTGTCAGGATACCATTCATAAAAATACCAACTAGATACCACTTTACACTACCAACGAGAAGAATATGTTCAGTAAAATATAACACAAACCCTAACCTGGTATTAAAAAAAATGGTTTTTAAACGTATTCAATCATTGTCTTTGATACTGATATATTGTTGAATATGGAGATCCAAGTGACCTACTTATCACTTATGCTTTTAATGTATTCATTCTTGGACTATTCCACTCTATTAAACCTAACTTGAGAAAATAATTATTTGCTTGCTTTGAGAATTTCATGAGAAACACAGAACATAATAAACCTATGAAAGCCCAGTAGGACACCTGCCTAACATTTTAAGTATTTTTTTAAAACAGCAACAGAAGTAGGCAGTTTATATTTTAAAAAATGAAAAATGTAACGATTAAAAATTATTATGCCAATTTATATCACACAATATAAAGCAAACTGGGGAACTGTGCTATACTATTTACAGTAGTGGATCTAAGAGTCCAGAATTCATTTCCAAGCTCTGCAACCAACCAGCTGGATCTACAAGTCACTTCCTCTTGCATGACACAATTTCCCCATCCATAAAAATGTAGATAATTATAGAGAACTCTTTGTAATCTACTGAAGCCATGTGCTGCATTAGGAACTATGTTACAATTATACACTACAGTTATATTTCTATTCACAGCAGAAAATAAGTTTTTTTTAAATTCTTGGACAATTACTGAATGGCAGTTCTGAACAACACAGTTAACAAAAGCAGTAATAAACAGAATGTGAGTACTTACTGTCACTAGGGGTGCCTTGCTCTAACAAAAACTGTTGTCCTTCACTCCATTGCCTCTCCAGAAGCTGTTCTATGCTGGCTGCTACTGGGGGCAAATTTTCCCCACAACTGTTCCCTGATTGATCATAGCGAATCTGCAAGCTGCTTACAGGGGATCTGTTGAAAATATTGCAATTCATTGTTTAAAGAAAAGGATGGAAAGAAATTATATATTAATATATATTACATAATATATATTATATATTAGTAAAAGGCTGTTGAAGTTTCTTACCTTATATAAGGCCTTAGCATCTACATATCTTACATTTCCAAGACTAAGTTAATTCATCAAAATCACTAAGAAACCCTGGTTCTCACTGCCAAGGCTTTAATAAAAGAAAGATGTAGTATTTCATAGCATGTTAATTTATACTGAGAAAGCACATACAGACTAACAAACAGCATTGTATTAAATTATACAACACATACTTCTACAGCAGGAAGCAACTGTATATAGATACATAGAGCAACTGTCTTGGGGGCGGGGAGGAGGAAGTCTTCAAAACTTTCCCAGAGAAAACTGAGAAAATAAAAACAATTTATTAAAATCAGCAAAGTAATGGTACTTCCACACAGAAAGGCCATATATAATTCCACTGCCTAACTTGTTCTAAAAAGAATCATGTAAAATCAGATTTTTGAGCGACTATGTGAAAATATTATTTCACAAGGGACGCAATGAAAGTTGAACTTATCCTCTTCTCTGTCCTGTGCACACTTAATATACTTCCTTTTTTACTCATGATCACACATAGTTCAAAGAATAATCCCTTTGCCACATGTCTTTTCTCATTCTGGAGAAAATTAAATATTCAGCACACAGCCACTGAGAAAGCTGGCTACCCCGCAGGTCCTATGAGAAGGCTTCTTTTGCACTGGATGGGGCAAAATTTAACCTGTGAACAAAACCAGATGCTCAGTGTATTTCTGACACGGTATTCTGGCTTCATGTATGCATGGTCACATTGCTCGTACAGGACAAACACCAAAGCCCACTAAAAGCTGGATAGTGCTTTTGTTTGTTTTGTTGTTGTGCTGTTTTTTTAAATCAACTCCAGTGAGCTTAGATTCAGGTTCTTATATATTAGTTATTACTGCAAGTAATAACTATTGGTGCCATCAGAGGATCACAGCCGTACTGTTCTACATGCAGTGCAAACTTACCAACAAGACCACCATAGTCCCAGTACAGGACAACATATAGAGCTCAGGAAATCACTGTGTTAATTATGATTAGTGTAATAAGCAGTGGTCACAGCACATTAGCTACCTAACGACTGTCAAGCATTTTGTAGGCACCAGAGCAAAGCGATTTTTACGAGAAAAGGTTTTAAGTAGGTGACTTAAGAGCTCTGTAAGTATTTATAAATAATTCCTCTTTTGCATACAGAATAAAAGAAGAAAAAACACTTGTTAAAACAAAAAGCCCTGATGAATGGGTAACCAAGGTAGTGTTTTTTGACAAGAGATGACAACCAACAGCGCTTAACAGTTCAGCACAGACATGGCAAAACCAGCCTTAAAACTAGTTATTTACATGATGTGCTCAAGTGATGAGAAGGAAGGTTTATGTGGAAACATTCTGAACAGATGTACTACACTCCACGCAAACAAGCCACTTTAAAAAACAACAGCAAAAAAAACCCCAAAGCAAAACGGAAAAAAAAAACCCCAAACAAAACCAAAACCAGAAAACAAATACAGCAAACCACCACACGACCCCCACAGCAACTTCTTTCTCTGTATGCATGCTTCTGAAGGGTGCATAACACTACTCTAACAGATTGTGCCATTTGAATTATAAATCACCAACAAAATTCTTGCTGGGCTTAGGACTGTTTCCTATCAATTTCACAAAGGTAGAAAGAAAGCAACACATGACTATATAACCTCTGCAGTCCTTCACTAGAAGCCTGTACAGAAGGAGAAAAAAAAAAAAAAAAAAATCTAGATTTCCGTGTATCACAACATTAGTCAATCCATTGTCTTCCAGCTGAACCCCTACCTCATCCATTAGACATGATACGGTTCCTGCATACTAGGGTTGAATCCTTATTCCAAATAGTATTTGATCATAGTTTCCAACAGGATTAGAAGTGTGCTGTATGCGCAGCTCTGATGCCATCACTGAGATGGGAATCCCTTGTTTCATGTTTTATACCTTGCTTACTTTTGCAACTGTTTTTTGTTTAACTTTGGGGTACAGTTATTCATACTCTTACAGTATTAACTATAAGCAATACTGCTTTTAGATATGTATTTCAACACAGGTATTATGTAACACATTTTTAAATCCAAGATTAAGTACGGGGTAAAAAAAGTTTAAGTGCTACCTTGGGAAAAGCAGCAATTGCTTTGCAGAACAGAAACAGCTCACATACAACCTGGTATATTCATATTTCTCATATATATTAAAATTTTAAATATGACAGCTTAAACATCAAACACTTTGGCTATATAGGGGTACAAAGATACAACCATATGAATTTGAAATGACCATACAGCTCATAAGACACACATGTCTTCTCTGAAGAGCTGCAATTGGCTGCATCATCAACAGCAAACAATTGTTTCTGCAAGTGTTTTTATTTTAAGCAACTATTTGAAAATTACATGGTTCTTTCGGAGAAGTGTGTTATTTATGTATCTCATAAGCTTCAAAGGGAATGGAGTCAGAACTTGCAGAAAAATAATTTTAATAGATAAAGCAGGTAGCATTCAGAGTTGCAAAGTTTTCAGAGAGCAGATTTTTGAAGTTAGCTTTTTGTTCTCTAAAAGCCTTATTTTAAGTAATCAGAGTTACTTATTTATTTAACTGGGGAAGGTGGGGAGTTATCTACACATTTTAGAAACTTCGACATACATGTGATCTTTCTTATCGCACAAACCAGGGGTGAAATCTGCTGACTACTGAACTTAATTGAATGGGCAAGTTTTCTGAATTTTTTCCATGCTAGGTATTTCAGACTAAGTTTTTCCCTCTTTCAATCCTGGAACTACAGCGGTAATTTCTCCTTCTCCCTCCCCCCACCTTTTTTGGCTTGTTTTTGAACAACTCTGCTGCCAAACAAAAGCTATCTGCTCTTTGCAAAGTGCTACAGCTTCCATACGCTGAAGGAAGCTCTGCAATTGTGGACTGAGGTGCCCGTTCTATCACTCAGTTCTCCTTTGCCATCCCCATCAAAACCAGCTGAAATTCAACCGTGTTGTAAGTACCCTGAATATACACTCCATAGAAGCAACTTATTTAAGAAGTTAGCTTCCCAAATATTCTACCTAGAGACAGCCTGAACAAAACTATGGCCTACTGCAAATTGTTCAAAGACCATGCCTTTGCATATTAACTGAGAAGGCACTAAAACTTGTAACTACGACAACATGTATGCATAAGAGGACTACTTAATATCTAATCAAAAGTTCTGGAACTTCCTAATTGTTGAGCATCTCCCTTTGCAAAATTCTCCTAACTTACTTGTCTGTATATATACAGACATACTCCTTATTTATATAAAGACTTATACGCTAATGTAAATATATATATTTATACTGAGAAAGCAGTCTAAACTAATTTGTAAATTCTCTATTTATTGTTTCAGAAGCAGCACGTATTGGAAAGCTTAACAGCCAGTTCATGACTAGGTAATAACTCCTAAGTATTATAATGGATATTCTTACCCCATTCGACAAGAAGACTTTTGATTAATTAAGGAATGTAATACAAGATCAACAACACCAGGCATGTACATTAAATTATCTAATTTGGAGACATTTATTATAAATTACTGTAATAAACACATGCTGTAACAATCAAATTCATTGTTACGATGCTGTATCTGTGTAACTACCATTTTTTAGCTATCCTAAAATCCTTTTCAAGATAAAATCCCCATGGTTAGTCCCTAAGTAACAAAATAGGAGTAATGACACTATAAAATCTAATTCATATGGGATCCAGTATGGAAAATAAAGCCCTTTAAAAAAAAGATTGACTTAAAATACACAGAAAATATTACTAAGTATTTAAAACTCAATATTGAAATTTTAACAGTGAGTATTGTTTAAAACAAAATAGCGTGATACAATTCCAGCGGAATTCTTACGTCAAACTTCTGTACTAGAGATGAACTGCAGCAGAACAAAAAAAAAGTACTTTTTTTTCAACAGAGATTTGTTGCATGTTTTTGAAGTGGTGAGGGAAAGGGAAAAAAATATTTGTTTGAAATTTTTACTGATATTTAACTTCTCAGACCATCTTACTCCTGTAATTGCTGTAGTCTTTAAGTCTATGGGATGTTGAAATTTTTGCAACTATGACTAAAAATATGATTGTGGTAACAAATCTGAGGAGATAATTAGTACACGTTGATTAAATGATAGATAAATCCCTCTAAAGCAAGTCTCCATTTCTTAAGTCCTTCATTTGTAAACCTAATTTCAGCTGACACAAAAGTAAATTTCAGCACATTTTTAGCTATCTGGACATATTAGGGATTCTTTTAGATGGATATATCCATATATATCTATCTCCATATCCATACTACATATATATATAGGCTTTTAAACCACTTATGTATTACTAGTAAAAAAGACAGTGAAGTTTCCAAATCTTAAAACATTTCCTCTGCCTGCACTCTCCAATGTAAATAATGCTTACCGTGGTGAGAGACTTCCTCTGGGTGAACCTCCTCTGCCAACAAGGCTGCGGCTATTATCTCCGAGATCTTGATCTGCAGTGTAAATATTTCACAGCTGATAAATCGCCTCTCCTTAGATAAGAGTTTTAAAACTGATGTAGGTATTTTTAAAATACCTTAAATCTCAACTTTTATCTGTAGTTACTGCTGAAGAGTGAATACGTAACTAGTTTAAGACTGCTGAACTGTAGCATGTAAGGTGTTGTCCTTACACATTTCTGAGGCTGTACCAGGCCATGGATTATGTTCACTTCTTTCATTCCTTTCAGTTTTACAGCACAGAAGCGTGGTTTGCATTTGCAGTACCCTCCCCTCAGCCACTTTTAATTTGTACGGTGAAAGTAATGAATCACAGCTGTGGACAGCTAATCTGTATGCTTATCACAGCAAATCCTGATGCTCTGTATTTTTTTAACACTTTGCATCCCAAAACAACTCATAAAACATGTAACATATTAAACGTACTGCTGCCATCTAACAAGCACACATTATTCTGCAAATTTACTGAAAACTTTATGAAAGCGTATAATTCACTAATTCCTATTTATAAGCAGAAGCATAGGAAAGTCCCTTGCTAAAAAGGTAGTAAAACAAACAAAAAAGGCCTCATTAAATATACGAAAACGTTTTGCTTGGAAGGACTCAAAAGGGTTATTTTCCCTATGGCCTCTCAATAAAATAACCCTATCTGCCCCCTTCAAGGTTGCCCTCCCCCTATTCTGAGTCAAGTGACCTCCGACCTCTTGGAGGGCAAAGACATGACTGATCCATTCTTGGTAAACTGCTAAACTCATTCCCTTCCCCCAAACAGGCATGACTACTACGACATGTCAACAAATCCTTACGGAGGGAATGAAACAAAGCAAAGCCAGCGGCTCATTAAAACTGTAGAGGAGAGCCAATGGTACAAAATGCCAATCGGTAAATATTCACAAGATTATTAAATGCTGCAGAAGTTCTCTAACAGGATCGCTTTCACACGAAGTTGTATGTAATGCAATTTCATGAATTATGCAAATAAAGGTTTAAACTATTCACGACAAAACCCAGAGCTGTGTTACTCTCGTTGCAAAGAGCCCCGAACTGAACACATCAATCACAGAAGTCACAGGAGACATTGTTGCATTCCTGCCTGCTGATGGCTCTGCTTAAACATTTACATTTCAGACACTAAAAAAAAAGGAAGAAAACCCGTGCTGTTCTGCAGGACCACTGAGAATTTACCAAATGCTGAGCAGAGTTCAAAAATAAAATTTAACAATCTTTTTAAAAATACTTAAGTCTGTGAAGTTCTGCGTTTGTCACCAGCAGCGGGAAGCTTACCTGCTTGGCTGTTTTCAGACTGAGCTATAAGTGCTGCCATTGCTGAATTTGGATTCAGCCTATTGCCGTACATGTGGGATGGAGGCAGACTGAGAGAAGATCCAGGTAGGGTGTTTGCCTGCAAGAAAACAATTAAAACTTGAATCCTTTTTAAAAAAGGGGGGAGAAATGCTAAATGTATTTTAAAGAAGCCTTCTTTGTGCACAATTACTAATTTTTTTAAGTTGAATCTTTTTAAAAAACTGAATGTATGTAAAAGAAAAAAAATATTATTTTCCATTTGTAAGTACAGGAATAGAATTGCAGTACTTTGAGAATATATCAGGATTTAAAGTGTGTTTCAAGTGTCATTGGCAAGAACTGTTATTTTTAAAACCATCAAATAAAAAAATTACTGCAGCAAATATTAAAAATACCTAAATTGCATTTTAAAACAACCACAGTGTAGCAGGATGGGGAGACTTCCTTGCAATCCTGAAGTATGCACTCAATGCTAGGACTTAGTAGCATGGCGACCATGTGGTTATCCTACTAATTATTTAATCTTATTAAACCATTTACAAAATAAGGGCAGGTAGACAACAGATGTCTCACAAATGCTTGGGTTCCTTACATCACAAGCCGGCTGTGGAGGTCAAAAGGTCCAACTTTCAGCTCTATAGTTTAACTACACAGAGCCATATTTCCTTTGCTCGACTCCGTCATTAGTAAAACCTGCACACTATTTTGTTACTTCCTATTTTGATAGACTTGGAAGCCTGGTGTTTTTTTGTTTTGTTTTGTTTTTATTTTAAAGAACGCAAACAGCCATTACAAGTATGTTTTCTATACAATAGGGGGCTCACCGAATCACAGCTTTGCCCTGACCCCATATAAGGAACTGTATTTTTGGCAGTTGGCCAGCTCTACTTATTGAAGAGCTCCCAAAGTTTGTGTTCATTCATGTTGCTAACCACAATTCTGAAGGTCTCTGCTGGGACTTGTGCCAAACAAGCGAAAATGAACCCTTAAACAGATGAAGCTAAGGAGGCTGGCCAAAATCTTGCATAATCCAACGCAATAAAAATACCTTCTTCCTTGGCTGCTTATGTTTTTTCCCTTTCGAAGAAAAGATTTGTGTCAAATGCTGAGTTGCAGAGATGGGCAATCAAAGAAAAAAGGCATGGCTGCTTATTAAAAAGGCATTTTCCTACCTGATAAAAAAATTATTTCAGAACAAAGAAAAGATTGTGGGGTGGGGGGGATATCAAAGATACACAACCTGTATGATCACTGGTTTTAAAACGAATCTTTTAAGAAAATGTAAACAACATTTACAAAGGAAACTTTTTTTGAAAAAGGAAAAAAGAAGGTGAATAGTAAGAAACTCAATTTGTGGGACATTTTGACATGTATAACTGCACACAAGAGACAGGGAAAACATACTGGTTATTACAGCAAAATATTACAGAGTATAAACTATGTCTCTGGAAAGAATCACACACTACCATTAAGTTCTGGCTTTCAGCCAACATATTAAACTTGATGAATAGACTTTTATGAATTCACACAACTGTTTTCAATGATGCTTTGTTTACTATATACTGGTGAGAAATTGTGCCTGATACTTACATTCTTCTACTGTCACAAAGTTAGAAAAAGCCACAAGTAATTACTTAACAATGACCAGGTTTTTTTCACTTTTCAGTTTAAAGGTATGTGCAAGATTGCTAGACATGGAACCACAGTTTCACTTCAAATCTGCCTGTTACTACTTTTTTTTTTTTTTTTAAGAACCACAAGTCTTCAGTAGAATTAATCTGAATTAGTTGTAAGTCTTAAAAATAATGCAGGCATTTCTACCTACCCAGGTATAACAAGTTTCCAGAAATACAATACATATTAGTACCGTGACACTTATTGACAAAGGCAGCAATATTGCAAAGTTCTTGCTGTTTTCCTTAATAAACACCTATGGCATGATTCCAACTCAACTATTATAATTCACTAGCAACCTTCAGCTGTTTTCCTCTCAAAACCAAAACAAACTTCAAAAACAATGTAGTTTTTGACAAATCCTTTCACCAAAGAAACTTTACAGAGTGGAATATTACAAGATTCAACCATTATTTGCTTCCGTATCTAAGAGATAAGACTAGCAATATAAAAATCTCTATATATTTAAATAAATTGGTTGAGGTTATGAATTCTACTAATATAGTTTGTGCTTTTTTTTTTTTAACTGCAAACACCAGGTCTTATTTCTGTTTAGTTTTAGAATATTTCTATAAAAGATTTCTCTTAATTCTAGTAGGTGTACTGCTCTTGTCTTACACAGAAGCTGCTATGCTTATTGTTGCTCCATGTAATTCACTGCAAGGCTGCTTAAAACTGTGCAATAGCAACTATATATTAATTTATGATGGCAGGGCAGCTATAATCAGCAAGGAGAATTCATGTTTATTTGACTGAAACATGCCCAAATAGCTTTAAGAACTTTCTAAAAGCATCTAAGTACCTTGAAAGGAGTTGCTAAAGTCTGTTGAGTAACCATCACATCACAAAACAAAAGACATCAAGGGAATTAAACAATGTTTGCTAAGTGGATTGATAGATCAAAAGACTTAGCACGATTTAAACAATATCTAAGAACTTGAGTTTTTTCACAAGTGGTGGCTCACCCTAAACTTAACCCCTGTTCATACTTTAAAATAATAGTAAAGGTGTCCTACAACAAGTTGGAACTACAAGTTATAGTGCCATCATGTATCCTATGCAACTCTCAAAGGAAAAACGGAACATTACGTTCAAGTAAGCTGCAGGTAAATAAAAAAACTTTTAAAATACTTTTTTTAAATGGCAATGTAAAATGACAAGAATAATGATTTGTGAAGCTTTATTATGTATGCAACAACTTCATCTGACAGGAAAGTAGAGGAGGTGGAGGAGTGCTACATTATTTAATGGTGAAATAGGAGCTTCATGTTTCACTCACAGTCGAAACAAGCTGTAGCAAGCATTTATTAAAAATGCACAATCATCCTGTCAATACATATTAAGGTCACAGGACTGAAACGTTCTAAAATGCAGAACTTTTAAAGCTGTAGTATTCTTTATTTCAACTGGTTCTATTCAGTCAACACAAAACACAATCAAAATGTATGAACTAATAAAATAAAGAGACTGCTAAGTATTTATTTTGAAAAGGCTGCAAATTTTCCTGAAAAGATTTTAGCAGAAGGATTTAAGCCCATCTAGAGGTATGTAATACACTGCTTTCATTTATGGCATGTTCAATAAATCAGTAAAGCAATAAGCAGCAGAGCAGCACAGAAGGAAGATACACTGTAATTCATGGAATGCCCGAGTGCAATAAGAATAAATGATTGGTATTTGATTGATGCTTAAAAACACTTCCTCTACAGCAAGAAAGAAAGTACAAGTACATTCTTCTAATTAAAGAACAAAGCTTGCAAGTTAACTAAATTTAACTCATATGTATAAATATTCTCTGAAATATATAAAACAGTTTTATATTTGTTTGCATCACTCCAAAATGGTATTTTACTGTAACAGTATGACTACAAAGTTTCCCAAGTTGACAACTATTTGCATTCATAACTGGACATTTACTTAAATTTCCAGGGGAAAACAGTTACTTCATTTCAAAAGTTACATGTTCTTTAAGCAAAAAAAACCAAAGGGGAGAAAAATGAGACAATACGTAGCTGTATGCAATTAGATTAGGTCTCAAAAATTTCAGACCCTTTGAGCATGCCTATTCCCCTGTTCCTTTCAAGTTTTATGCTATGAAATATTTTCTGATAACAGGCCTCATTTCTGTCTCAGCTCCACACCAGTAAGGTTTTAATACTCAGCGTGTGATGAGAGATGAAACCAAGTGTGAACAACTTTCAGGTCCCATGAGTAGGCTGACTGTTGAAGCTGTCAGGTTCAATTGCATCATTCCACATTATTCAATGCCCCAAACTGCTCCCTAATTGTTAGGGGCTTAACATATTCAAAATCATTGTTTAGGCTAATGCTGAAATGCCTACAGTTGAGTTTCCATAAAGAAAGGGGAGGGATTTAATTGTAGTTAAACCATTACTGAACTCTCCACCTTTCATGATAGGACAACAAGGATGGCTGGAACAACCAATTCCAAGACAGCTTCTTAATCAGTTTATATCCAATCAACATCCCTTTCCCCCTCCGCTATAGAAAGAGTCATTGCTATATTGTAGCTTTGGCTTTATATTACAATGCTTTACAGTTAGTGATAGATCACCTAATTACCTACTTCAGCCATTATCTATTTGTCAACAATAATTTCAAAGGTAATTTTTATTTCTTGTTTAAAATAAAAACATTTTATTGCTCCTGCACTCTCTATATCCCTTTGAGTACCATATTAATGTGGTTGGGGTCATACCATTTACCACACTAGGTTCTTCATCACAGCATGGTGCTGTGATATAAAGCGTAAAACTACCCCTTGCTCCTATTAACATGAAGTAAAGAAATCAAGAGCACTATGTATCAACAGCTACTTCCTATGGCCAACTACTACTGAAAACAGTATAAAAAAAATTTGATGCAGGTGAATTTTAAAGGTAAATTTTCTGTGAGCTATTCTGCTACACTTCTGAGGTGTTACTAATGCTTTCCATGCAATTGTCTAGCTTCGTGAAATATAGAAGGTAATTCAAGCACTAGACCAAATATTAACATCAGCTTACTTCATCTAGAAGTCACTTTAAGCTGATATAATTTGGTCAATGGCAACCAACGTTTATTTGAACAATGTACTATTGAAAATAACATAAAAATTAAAACCTGCATTGCAATTAAATGAGCTTAGATATTCAAACTTCTTAATGCTATGTACATAATAATAATAAAAAGTCGATAATATACATACATATAAATTAACTGCTTTTCTTGAGAAGTAAAAAGAGCTGCCTATCAAGTGATAGCAGCAAAAGCAACCTGGCCTTACGTTTCCTAGCTTAACTTCGACTAATAAAGAAAAGTGATTTTTATCCCTAGAATTTTTAAGGCCAGTTAAGCTACGGGGAGCATCTAACAGTTGGCTTTTCTTGGGTATTCAATGCAATGGGAAGAATGTGCTATTGC